CCGTCGTAAACATAGCCTTTAGGAACTGGTTTTCCATCAGGAAACATGTAAGGATTGACAGACGGGTCGTAATAAAGTTCAAACAAGGTTGGTTCCCTTTCTTTCTTTTCTTTCCCTTTCTTTTCTGGCGGCTCAGCTTCTACGCTGGCTGGTTCCTCTACAACAACTTCAGGAACATCTTCTTCACGTTCGGGCGCCCCTGACCGTGGATCTGGAGGATCATCGCCTTGAGGAGCATCATCATCATCATCATCATCGTCTCCCTCAGGCTGATAGTCCAGGTCTTGGAGGTCAAGAATTGGCTTTTCCTTGAAGTGAAGGGGAAAGATAAAATCTCCATCGGGAAGAGCTACTCGTTTAGTTCTAATGGTCTTGAGGTGTCCTTCTTTTAAGAAGTATTCCAAACTATCAACATGCGCAACCAAATACTCCCCCCTCCAAACATGTCCGGCCTGGATGTTGTATCCTAAGAAAACACCCCTCTTGGCATTGGGAGCAAACTTTCCTCTTTTTGGCTCATACTTTCCTTCCCGAAAGAAAAGGAGACATCCAAAAGGAAGTTGCCTACCAAGGAATCCATTGTCAAAACGAAGTGCCCATGGGGGATCATTACCATTCAATTGTTTGACAATGTTGATGGCCATAGCATGATGTTTGGAGGCATAAGGCCACAAAAGGCATGTTAGCCTGAAGGAGATTGGGGCGCGCCCCTTCCAAAATGGTGCGGACCTCGCGCTCGACAACCGCCTTGGTGGAGTGTTGGTACTCAACAGAAGTTTGGTGCTTAAAACCGAGCTCTTCGATGGCGTCCAGCATTTCTGGAGCGTTGTCAGTGTATACTATACCAACAATGTCAGAAGTCTTCAGAAAATGTTTGAAGGCCCTCACTATGGAATCGGCCGTTTTGTTCTCTGAAGGATAAACACAACGGTACTGAGTATACACATCTTTGATCACCAACATCGAGGTTTGGCCTTCTATCCCCTCTTCCAATGTCTTTGGGGATGACATGGTCACAAACGATGTGGTCTCCAAAACCACGGGCCAATACGTGTTGTGATCCGCCTACGCTTCTACCGTAGGGTGCAAGCATCTTTGCTTCGCTACAAATATCGCAGTAGGGGTTCTTTGGTCTGTGTGTGAACTGGTGCGCCCCTGATTTTGCTTCTTTGCGAAGTTGTTCTTCGGTCTTTTCCCCTGCTACGGGGACATCCTCAAAATCGAAAGGGACCTCAACCTCCGGGTCGCTCTCCGCTTCATCTCCCTGTTCCTCATCGGCATTGGCAGCTACGCCAGCCTCATCCTCGTCTTCTTGTTCATCCTCGGGTTCGGACTCATGGCTGGCCATAGCGAAGCCCTGATCGATGGTGAACTGGTGGATGGAGTCGAGTACCTTAGTAAGTCGTGTCCTGAGTGGCTCGGGGATTGAAAATGGGGCGCACGTCTCATCAATGTATGGGACTTTGGACATTCCTCAGTGGTCCGGAACAGGTTCCGCCTTTTGCTCTTATTCACTACATGCCGGTACATTTCCTTCCAAGGTCAGGAAGTCCCGTAAACTCAGATTTGACCTTGATGTTTATGAACGGGCAGCGAAAGGAAGTAGTGACAGAAGTTATGAATTCCTCATTAATTCTGTTCGACGGTATCTTGATCGAGAAAGGCTAAGGACCAATCGTGAGAAGATCTCACAATCGCATGCCGCAAAGTATGCAAACCCGGCGCCACATGACAAGCGTACGCGAAGCCCAAGTTATGGCAAGAGGAGCACAAAGGGTGACGGAAGCAACCAGTGCTATGAGTTCGCCAAGACCGGCAAGTGTAAGTACGGAAGCAAATGCAAGTACTCTCACGACTCTAGTGCACGTCCCCGCTCCCTTAGCCGGGAGTCGTCACGATCGCGTAGCGCAAGTTCAAGTGGTCGATCCTCTTTCAGGTCAAGTCGTTCAAGAAGCTCGTCAAGACCATCCTCCCGCAATAGTTCAAGGAACTCATCAAGAAGCTCAAGTAGAGGCAGAAAATCTGAGAAGCCATGCAGGTTCTTTGCCAAGGGCAACTGCAAAAGGGGTGAGAAACGTCCTTTCAAACACGGTGAAACGGCTACACCGGCCCCGCGCAGAAGAAGTCCCTCTCCCGCGGCTAAAAGGTCTAAAGACAAGAAGTCAAAGAAGGACAAAAAGGACAAGAAGAGCAAACGGGAAAAGAAAGACAAAAGTCCAAAGGCCAGTCCATGCATTCAAACAGGTTTCGCAATGTCTTGCTTAGCAGCAACCGCTACTCGGACCCACAAGAGCAAGGACTACTGGGAATTCTCCAAAGATGGCACCGAGTTGATCAGGCATCATTTAAAGCCTAGGAACAGGTTGTTTCTCCCTACACGTAAATCCTGTCCGGTGGAGTCGTCTAGGTTGGAAAACCGATTCACCATGGTGGTCACAGACTCAAAGGGAAAGAGTAGGACCTTGAAGGGTGATTGGAAGAGACACCCAAACGCGAAACAAGGGTTTGATTGGACTGGGAAGTCAATTTTCCGTGTTGTGCAAGAGAAGAGAGTTCGTTTTGAATTCAAGCCTGAGGTACACACCTTTCCTGTTCTCTATAGAACAAGTCTTTGAGGGTTGCCGGGTCAGGAACATGACTCATTCCGGTCAACACACTTTCCCATTTCCTTAGAAAGGATTTCAAGTCATCGCTGTCAAGCGAGATTTTCAGGAGGTCTTCCGTGCCATACAGTGCACCCGCTTCTTCACTGGTCTTGAAGTGGACTTCAAACATGAGCAAAACCTGACGACCACGAACGATCCTACCCTGCAGTGCCTCAGATTCCCTGTAATTAAGGATTTGCTGAGACAGTTCACCTTTGGCGACCTTAGTCAAAGCAGCAAGGAGTTTCGTGTCTAAGGTCCGAAACTTGCCTGGGTCAGCCAGCTCAGAACAAAGCTTTGCTTTGTCCTCCCGAACGGCGTACACCTCAAGCACCCATGCGAACGCAGCATCTGGGTCGTCGGACGCGGACCGTATCGCTTCGCGAACAGCGGCCCTCCAAGTGCGGTACCTGTCAGGACTTGGGAATTCAGGGAGATCTATCTTATCAGCCTCTTTTGCTTTGGGTTTGTCGGAATCTTTGCTCTTTGCGCCCTTAAACCCCTCTAGCAATGCTTTCTTGATGATTTCCCCCAAATCTTGATCTTGTGGAGTTCTTACCTGAGATGCCGGCCCTTCGTCCTTGCGATCATCCTTCTTCTGTGTTGCATCCTGGTTAAAGGAGCTTTTGTACAGAGGGTCGTCGCTGAAGTTGTACTGTGCCGACTTCATCCTGTAATCCATCCACGGATCAGATTGTTTAAATTGTTGCCTATCGGTAGAGGCGGTGGCCTGTTCAGTTGCTTGCGCCCCTGTCCCAGAGAACATTGAAGGAAATCCTGTGTTGCGACTTGTTGCTGAAGCATCCATAGCTGTCTTCAGAGGAATTCCGGCTGGGTCTGAGGGCGAACCTTCTAGGGTTGCAGGAACTGTGCCTTCCGTACGAAGAGGTTCGAATGAACGAGGTTGACCAACGGGATGAACATTTGGTTGAACAGGAGGTGGAGGTTGCTCTGGTTGCAGCGGCCCTGGTTTAGCTGGGCTAGCGGCTTGAGCCTTGCGCTCGACTTCCTTGCGCTCCTCTTCCTTGTCCGACAAGGCCTGTACAACACGTCTGAGTTCATCCATCTCACCCTTCAACAAAGCATTGTCCTTGCGGAGTTCAATGATTGTTTGCTCTTGGGTTTCCCGGTCAACTGCATGTTGTGACTTAGTCGACTCCATTTCACCAAGGAGTGTTTTAATCTTTGCTTGTGCAATTGCCAACGAACTGGACAGTTCCTCACGCTTGAAGTCAAGGTCTATAGCAACACGGGCCTCTTCAGCTGATGTGGATCGAGCTTTGTCTGTTGCCTCTAAAGCTGCCTTTAGCCTTGCTTCTTGCTGCTCCGTGTACTGGCGATGTTCAGTTCTCATCCTGTCGACAAAAGCATTGCCTTCCTCTGCCAAGGCATTCTTTTCTTGTAAAACCCTCTCATGAGCAGTTGTAGCCTGAGCTAATCTCTGCTGAAAATGCTCTCGTTGCTCCTCCAACGTGCCTTGCAACCTTTTGATCGCAACGTTGTCGTGATGCTGGGCCAACTGCTGAACATTGTGTTCTTGTTGTTGAGCCCTCTGTTGCAAATTCAGCATTGCTTGCTCTGCTGCGGCTTTTGTTGCTGCTATCGATTCAGAAGCTTCCCTCTCGTAGATATGCCTGAAACGCAGCGCTTCGAGTTCAGCTTCACGCCTAGCTTGCTCGCTGAGCAACAACTCATGTTGCTGTAGTTCCCGTCGTAGTTCTTCATCACCTGATGTAGCGTTCAGGTTGGCGACGTTGAACCTAGTCATTGCCAACAAGTTATTTACTGTTGGCACACCAGTTACGGTGGCTGACGGTATACCTGCTATGGCAGCTCGTGTCGCCTCTTGGAGAGTAACACTACCACCACTGCTTAGCATTTCTTGGTATACCTCCGAAGCTACCCTTGGATCCATAGCTGCCACTTGTGCAACTGCTTGTTCATGTCGTTGAACTGCGTCCAAACTATTGGGTATACTCGGAACAATGTCAAAGCCACTTCCGTACGAGTTCGGTGCGACGTCGTCATCCATCGGGTCCATAGCTCTAATCTAGTTAGCCTACGGCTGATAACCTGTATTTTACAGGATCAGCTCTACTTCCCTAGCTAACCCTGACTAGCCGTTAAGCGTCCCTTTTGCTCTACCTTGAGAGTACACGCTACGGGGTCCATAGGGATGAGGTGAATTTCAACAAAAGCACCATTCGAGAAGACACCCATCATCAATCCGCAAGCTCTTCTCCCTATCAATCTGTCATCGACTTAGTCATCCCCTCACCACTGCGACTTCCCAAGTTCATGCACCACCCCTGCGCCACCCGTCGGGTCCGTTGCGTCGGTCCGGTGCCAGGCGGCAGCTCCGAGGCCTGGGGCGGCACGAGCTCGGGCTTCAGCAGCTCCCGGGCGCTTGGGGGGCAGAAGCGGAGCCGGTAGCCCTCGTGGTAGGGGATACGCTCCGGCACCACCTGGCAAGACATGAACAACGAACCTAGCGGAATGGACCGCGAACACCCCGCGCTAGCCCTGGGTGCCGAATGAACCACCGGGTGCGCAGAAAAAATGGGCACGAGGACATGAACATCTCTCCACTCTGTTCGGAGTTCCAGCATGGAGTTGCAGCTTCCAGCCGCCCATGGTCTTCGCCTGGCTGGCGCTGACATAACTGGCGATGTAGCAATTGATCTGCGCATCCCAGGTGACCTGTCCACAGCAGCCCACCGGGCGGGAGAAGTGACAAGCATCTACTTGGGTCTTCTGGTGCATCATCCGGGGGTCTTTTGGCGATCAACTCATAACAACAACGAATGTGGGCAATTCTCACCTTGAAGGCACCTCCAGAAGTAACAAGATTGAATTCACTTGGTGGCTTCTGGGACAAAAGTCGGCTCCCGGAGCACCTTCGCCAACATGCAAGACATGGCGAAGCCTAACTTCTTCTCCCGATCGTAGACCTCCAGTGGCAGTGGCAGTTTCATCATCCGAGTCATGACAAAGCATTAAATTTCCAGCAACCTAGCACTTCGCGTTGGGACTTCTCTGTGGAGCCCACCTCGAGCAAGGCCTCAAACTGGCCTGCCAAGGTGTGTCGGTACCTCAGCAACTCAGCGGGGGTACAATGGATGTGGGCCCAAGTCAGTAGTTCCAGAAAAATGCACCCGGAGATCCTATTCTATTGACTCTGAAAATGGGAGTTGGGCCTTCTTCCATGTCACCCTCTTGGCAATCGGTCGGGTGTTTGCAACATCAATTCTCTCCTCCTACACTCCTAGTCCTAGACTACTTCATCCACCACATGCGAGTCTGCTTCTCTGAGGTTTTTCAGGGCGCTACGAATGGAGCAAGGGCATCGACACCGTCTTTGTTACTAGTAGTTTTTTGTTCCTAGTAGTAATGCCAGGAGCTACTAGTAGCGATGCCCTTGTTACTAGCTGAATGCCAAGAAGCATGGACTTCCAATCCACATCCAAATGGCTCAGGCCTGACAAGTACTTCTGAGCCTGGTAAAGCGCAGGCCATCGATCGATATACATCTGTTCCCACTGTGGGCCACACAAAGGGGCGCTGCTCTGGCGAAGACATCTGGATGTGAAATAGCAGAGTCGGGCCACATCGGCTGGTTCCTCCAAAAAACCCAAGATGTTGCCCATGATGGGCAATCCCAACACAGCATGTGATGAGGTCGCCCATAGATCCTCGCTGATGCTTGCCACTGGCGCTTGGTGCCTTGGCTAGGCAAGAAACCTAGCGCCAAACCAGCATGGCCCATGGAGCATCCAACCTTCTTGGAGAATGCTAGTGAGGTAAAATACACGCACGGTCTGTGAATGAAAAAGTTTGATAACCACCTTAGCAATGAAGCTAGGCCCTAGGCTTTTGATCGTTCATGGTCAAAACCACTGGGGTTAACTCATCCACCAGTCACCCACCATGATCTAACAAGGAAGCTGCTGCACTCGGCACACAAAGCCCAGGGGCAGTAAAAAACATCTCCAGTGCTCCTCGCTCAGGTTGCCCCGGAGCGCTTCGTCAAGGCATGCTTGGAGCTCGGAGCGGGTCTCGCGCAAGTAGCAGGCCTCAGGGTGAGGCCATTGGAAAGCGACAGCTAAGGGAGGAGGGGTGCCCCAGGTTGAGCTAGAAACTGTTCGATTCAGTTTCTTCTCGTGTTCGAATCTTTGGCTAAGCGCGAACTGTAGTGCCGATGCTTTGGCAGTGGTTTCCTCACAAGGATCAACAAAGGAAGCGCCGCTGTCGTCCCAAAGGGCGCTGCAAGCTTTTGTCAATTGCAGCTCCAACGACAGCCTCCCCATTGTTTCTTCAATGTGTTTTACTTTCATGTCCGGCGAGGGGCCCAGTTCCAAGGGCTCATTTGGATGAAGTCCGGCCGTCGAGGCAAAGGAGACCGTTTCGCTTCCAAGGCTGCGAAAAGTTGTTCGAAGTCATCCCTGGAGCGCACACCTTGCGACCGGAAACGGACGGTGACCGGCCAAACGAATGACCACCGGACTCGATCGGTTTGACCGCGGTACAGAAAACCCCGAACTATTCAAGAGTGAGGGTGTTGCAAATTTTCACATCCAACATGTCTCGACGCTTGCGCGATACACACATGTCCGGGCCTTGCCAGAATTCAAATCCAGCAAGACCACGAAGCTGCACCACAAAGTCGTCCCGGTAGGTTTCCCAAGCATCATTGCGGACGGTGACAAAGCCTCAATGCAAATCACCGACAAGATCATTGACCTGAATTGTGTTGTCAATTGGCAGTGCGGTTGGTGGGAACAATGTTTGCGGGTAGGGCACTACAAAGTGTTCCCAGTCACACCGGTTTCATTTTTGTGGACCCCAAACTTCGACAGTGATAGTGACAGTGGTAGTATTCATCTTCAACTCAGTCAGTATGTCTTGCACAGTCAGCGTATGCGTATGTCAATCCGTGGGCATGCTCTGTTCCCCCGACCTGCAGCCATGGAAGTGCTTGAGTTGAAGGCATCGGTCGACTCAGAGAAACCTTTGGCAAACACCGGGCTCCGTGGGCATCTGCCATCAGGGCAATCCAACTGGTAATTTCGAAGCTCCGGCACACGAACGGTCGACACGCGGCCAGTTGCAGCACCCATGGCTCCCCGAACGGTTGCAAATCTTAAGTGAATCCAAAATGGCCTCCATGCATCCCGACACGAAACGAATATTTGTGTTCAATAGTGGGGCCCGGAACCTTTTCCAGCCCTCGACATGCCACAAGGAATTGAGTTTCACCGACTTGCATCACAAATTTGTCAGAAATTGGCTCCTTTGGTGCCGCCACCACCTACACTCACAACCCTGGCACGCCAAGCAATTCGCTAAGCAATTGAACGGTCAAAAAAAACACGAAAACGACCCAATCAGGAAACTGTCGATTGTAAAAACAACGCATGAACCAACAATACAATCGCAAAGGCATCCTCAGATTCCGCTTCGACTCGCCAGCGTTAAAAACCAAAAACCAAACAAAACACCAAAAATAAAATAAATGATGCGCACGGCGCACACTTTCGTATGCCTTGGAGCCTGCAGTGCGATGTGAACATGACATGTGTGCTCAACCATGTCTATCATGTGGGTCCATTGGGTTGTGCATGGTAACATTCACGTGTACTGGTCACTGCCCATTGCAACCTCTCGGTCTCCACACGTGCCCGATTCATCTTCTTAAGCTCCCGTGTGTTGGCCTCTTTCACATCTTCCACTCCATCCTTCCAGTGTTCTGAAGCCTCACGGGTTCATTTCACTTCGTCTTCGAGTCGTTCAAATTCACGTGTTCTCTCATCTTCTATTCCGATGATCCTCTGGGTCTTCCTCGCTGCTTCATTTTGTGTTTTTCCAACGTCCCGAGCATTGATTGCATGTTATTTTTTTTCCCTTCTCGGGGCTTGCTGCGTGCGAGGGACGGTCTTTTCGGTCGGGCCGGTGAGACAAGCTGGGCACGTCAGAGTCCGACACGGCTCAGGGGCGCCGCTTCACGACCGCGGCCTCACGAACGCGGCCCCAGGCGGCTGGGGCGCGCGCCGTCGCCAGGTAGGACGACAGGGTCGCTGAGGAGCGGAGCCTCGCCGTAGACGTTCGCCCCGGGCCCGGCAGGGTCAGGAGCGAAGCCGAGAAGGCGCGCTGGGCCGCGAAGGCAAGGAACCCGCACCAACGCCTTTCCCAGGCCGCCGCAGCGAAGGGCCGGGAAGGCGGCGGGTGAGAGCGCGCCTTGGCCTGCGCCAGAAGGCGAACGAAGGTGGCCGCCTCAGGGCTCCATCGTCCCCCAGCCTCAAGGCCGACGACCACGATCCTGCAACGGGTGGCGCGGGTGAGCTCGGGTTATGCGCGTTCCTTCGCCCGGCGGGCAGCGGCAAGGGTGGCTCCTGGGCGGCCGCGGGGACGCGCAGCCGCGGTGAAGGGAGAGACCAGGGTAGTGTCGATGGCAAGTTGCGCACACCCCACAGGGGCTGCGTGTTTCCTCCACATTTCATTTTCTCTCAACTCAGGACTCTCGCATCTTGATCCGCATAAGCTGTTTCAATCTGAATGATTTTCCATTGCACACTCACCTTTGCTGTTTTTTCCTCATGTTCTGGACCTTCTGTTTGTGACCCTTTCTCTTCACACTTTGTTCTCACCTTTGTCTCACGCATCCCTTCTTCGTGAACTTGTCCTCTGCTGAACCGTTGCACCGCGCTCACAAGAACCCACCGTGCCAACCTCAAGGCTCGCCAGGCCAAGCATAGCAATGTAAATAACAGCCGGATCCACCATGAAGTGTCCTCAATCTTTGTCCCCCTCTTCCTTGTCAGCCTCTGCTGCTCGTCCACTTTGGCGCACTGACAATGCCAACACAGTGCTACTTTGGCACCGGGTTGGGGTAGGGAGGGGTGGGGCTCACACGCATCTGAGCACCCTGATACCCTGGATCAATACCCGACCTGTGCACCTACCGTAAAAACGCAAAATATGGCCACATTGTTTAGGCACCCCGCATACGGAAACCGCGTGTATAAACGATCCCCGCGTGTACAGACGATCCCCGTCACCGCGTGCACAGACGATCCGATTTCAGCGTGTACAGACGAACCCCTGTCCCAATGTCGCTGGTGTTGGTGGCGGTAGGCATTCCGGTCACTCGTAGTTGTTGTTCACTCGCTGCTGCAACCACAAGAGCCCAGCAGCGACACGGCGCCGACACCATTCTTCCAGCAAACGGAGGAATCACTTCTGCATACCAAATCTGGTATCTCTTATGTCAAAACTCCGAGAAACGTTTGATGAACAATGCTACCATGCAACGACCAACCATGGCAACATATTCACCTTCTGCTGTACTCCATGCTCTTGACCGTTGACCGCGCACATTGCTCTCAAGAAGCCATCCGCATCTTTCTTTCGGAGCCTGCTGCGTGCGAGCGGCCGTCTTTGCGGTCGGGGGGTGTGAAACAAGCACGGCGCGTAGAGGAGACCGACACAGCCGGCTGGGCAGCGTTCCGTCTGCGACCAGGATCTACATTGTGAGCGGACTCCAGGGGAGAGCGAGCAGGCTGGAGAGAAAGGCCTGCTGCGCCGCGAAAGGAAGGGAGGCCCGGTGAAGAAAATCTGAACTGAGGTCACTGACGGACAAGTGCCGACCTGTTCCGCATAGTCGGCATCACGAATCACGTCACTTCTGACCTCCATCTTCCTACAACCTTGAGGGTGTAGCGCCCTTTCCAACCACCCACTGTGGTTTTTGGCTTCGGAAAACTTGTGGCATGTGGTATTTTTTGCCCTGTCAACCAACCTCCCCAAACATCTATCAATGAAGGTGATCGCCCGTGGCTGCAAGGCGCGACAGCTTTGTTTATGCAGGACGACACCTGGACAAACATTTTTGACGGGTATGGACGTTCGATTTCATACCGGAAGAGGTGCTCACAGACAAGGACAAAACAGAGAACTCCTGAAGATCAGAGCCGGGCCATGCAGCGTGGGCACAATCCACCTCAACCATGGGTAGTGGAGCCCATCTTCGGACATCAGGGATTGTGCCACCGAACAGTCGTAGTTTTCTGGTGCCGTAGCTCTTGATTTGTTCCCCTTGCGCATCAACCATGTGCCCACCCATCTCATAAATAGTGGCTGTTTGTGGCTCTAATATCATTACATTCCTCACCATGAACACATTGAGCGATCTTTTCTTAGCGCATTGACCTGTGAAAGTTGGAACTCTGCTTACTTTTGTCCAAGCAACGAAGTCCTGGGCATGCCTTCTTCTTCATCTTGACATCATGTGTCTCAATCTTCTGCACGTTCCTGGCAGGCCAACATTCTCTGGCGTAGCTTCCAGCGTTGCCACACTTGTGATACACCACCCCTGAGTTTGTTTTTTTTTGGGGGGGGCCTTTCTTCCCGAGAGTCTTGCCAGTCTGCTTGCCTTTGCCGTTCTTTCTCCATCCTTGGATCGATGTGTTTTTCTGCGGCTTCCCTTTGTCATTTCTTTTTGTTCCACCCTTTTTGCCTTCTTTTCTTGCCCTTAGTTTTGGGTCACGATAGGTCCTCTTTTGTCGTCTTCCACTATGTGTCGCATACTCATCTGCAATCCTCCTGCACTCATCGTTTTCTGGCTCAAAATGTCCTCGATTACCTCAGGATGAGGTCTACGATGGAGGTGCTGCACACACGGCGGAAGCAATCAGCAAAAACTCCAGGTAACACACGTTGGCACTGCATTTGTATTTACGTACCATCAACTCATATTGGGCTGGGTGTTCTGTGACTGCCTTGTTGCCGTTCGTGTTGGAAGGTCCTCCGTCAGCACCCTCCAGCCCTCCAGGCCGCTTTGGGTGGACAAGTCGCAATGGGGCATTGTTTCTTTGAGTGATGTGTGCGCCACAAAAAATAGATACCCCAAAAATGACGGGGCTACCACCAATATGCCTTGGAGCCGGCAGTGTATCCGTGCATCATTTGGGCCCAGTGGACTTGAGGCCAGAGGGGGTGAACGAAAGCTAGCCGGGCCGGGTCGTCTGCTGCTGCTGCTGCTGCTGGCGCTGGGTGGTCTGCTGCTGCTGCTGCGGCGGTGGGTGCTCTGCTGCTGCTGCTGCGGCGCTGGTTGGTATGCTGCTGCTGCTGCTGCTGCTGCCGCTGGGTGGTCTGCTGCTGCTGCTGCTGGTGCTGCTGCTGCTGCTGCCGCTGCTGCGCTGGGCGCTGCTGCGCTGGGTGCTCTGCTGGCGTCGGGTCGTCTGCTGCTGCTGCTGCTGCTGGCGCTGGGTGGTCTGCTGCTGCTGCTGCTGCTCTGGTCTGCTGCTTCTGCTGCTGCTGCTCCTTTGTGGTTTGCTGCAGCTGCTTGGTGGTAGACTGCAGATGCAGATGCTTGGTGTGCTGCAGCTGCTTGGTGGTCCCGCTCACCGCGCGCAGGGGGGAGTCGAACCGCGGGGGGGGGGGGGTCCATAAGATTGATTTAATCAATTATTTGAGGTTTCTGAGGTGCGTCCACCCCGTCACTTAACTTGCTAAAGCAAGAGCAACTCCAGCTAGCTAAGGCTAGCTTTCGTGACTTCGCCTAATTGTTGTCAACCGAACACCTGCAAAACGAGCTGAAGCCGGGGGATGCACTGATGACAGTTGCGGCAAGCAGGGCTGGGCTGCAAATGTGCCCCACAACTGTCGCTGCCAGCAGCTTTGGCCGAATCGCCTCCAGGGGGGATGGAGCCAGGGACTTAAACCACCGAAAAGATCTAGGAAATCCAAGGTGGCTGCAGGAGGGACCCCTGCAGAGAATGGAGGAAATCCGTGGCTTTGGAACTCCACCTAACACAAAATGTTTCCCCGAAAATTAATGAAGGCATGAGTTTTTTGGCCAGGTGGGGTAGTCGGAGAGCAGCAGCTCCATTGATGCGCGTTGGTGCCGCTGTGGGTGAACGGAGGCTGAAGGCGGTGACGCCAACGACACCAAAATGGTGTCCACAATGAG